CTTTTATAATTATAAACAATTTCGTTTAAAAGTACAAAATTTTACTAGTACCATTACCTTGGGATCATGAACAAATGTATTTCCTTTGGTTCCAGGAGGGAAATCTCCAGTACAAATATATTTTAAACATTCAATAATGGTCTAAAGAAAGAGAAAATTACATTTAGCCACAAGAGAACCACAGAAGTTAATCATACAATATTCATTATAAAAATATTATTTACCATAGAGCAGCGGTTCTCAACCTGTAGGTCGCGACCCCTTTGGGGGTCGAATGACCCTTTCACAGGGGTCGCCTAAGACCATCGGAAAACACATGTATAATTACATATTGTTTTTGTGATTAATCACTATGCTTTAATTATGTTCAATTTGTAACAATGAATTGGGGGTCACCAAAACATGAGGAACTGTATTAAAGGGTAGCGGCATTAGGAAGGTTGAGAACCACTGCCTTAGACTCTAAAGGATACAATCAGATACAATCAGACATAAAACCTGCAATAGAGGTATGATTAAGTATTAAAGAATAATTGTTGTAAGTTCATAGAAAAACTACACAATTAAGGAAGTATAATAGCCCTAGCCGGTTTGGCTCAGTGGATAGAGCGTCAGCCTGTGGACTGAAAGGTCCCGGGTTCAATTCTGGTTAAGGGCACATGCCTGGGTTGCGGGCTTGATCCCCAGTAGGGGGCAGGAGGCAGCCAATCAATGATTCTCTCTCATCATTGATGTTTCTATCTCTCTCTCCCTCTCCCTTGCTCTCTGAAATCAATAAAAAAATATTTTAAAAAAAAGTATAATAAATAATTATTTGGAAAAAATTCTCTATTTCCAATTAAAATCATTTAAGCTAATTTAATAATAACAATGGCTAATTAAAACATGGCCACCACAATTAATAACAATATTGTATAACTGAAATTTGCTGAACTTAAATGTTTTCACTAAAAAAGATAAATGTGTGAGATGATGGATTTGTTAATTAACTACATAGGGGGAATCCTTCCACCAGTAGGTATTATCAGACCACCAGATGTATACTTTATAAATATCTTACAATTTTATGTGAATTATACCTTGATAAAACTGAAAATTTTATAAAAGTAAAAAACAACACCACCAAAACCAATGGCTGTCACATAGACCTTACTATGTGCCAGGTATTGAATGAACCACCTTTACATAGAGTAACCTTTTAATTCTCACATTAATCCTAGGCTCTCGAAACTATCTTTTATCTCCATTTTACAAATGAGAAAACGAAGGCATAGAACATTTAGGTCACTCTTGCACAGGCAGTGCTCATCAACACTATACTGGTCTCCTTCACAGTAGATCACTTAATACAATGCTAGCTACCCAAAAGGCATGCAATAAATACAACATTTTTGCATAAAAGGAGACAGGAGTCAGACATTCAGTTCTCAACACTAAACCTTCTCTCTTCCTCTAGGCTTTTAAAAAAACTTCAGTTACTCTTCTCCCTGTTACACTCCTTGTGTTTTCTCAAGCCACCCTTCCAGAACACAACCCAGCTTTTTGGCTATCCTTTTTCCATAACTGCTTGCCATTGCGGGGCCGCACCTAAATTTCTAAATATTCCCCGTTTTAAAAAACCACAGTAAATAAGTTGTGCTCCAACTTTTGACTAGGGAAGAGCATCCCACAACAAAATACAGGCATGCCCGAAGATACTACGGATTTGGTTCCAGACCACTGCAATAAAGCAAGTCAATTTTTTTTTTTTGCTGGGTTTGACTTAAGTTTATTTAAAAAACAAACAAACACAAAAAACACGCAGCACCTGTTAAGAGCAATAAACCACGCAGAGTAAAACGAGGTATGCTTGCAGTATTCCAATTTAAGCCTCACTGCATGTTTCATTTTAAAATTAAGCCATTTATTTTTTTATTAATTATACTTAAACAGTTGGCATACTTGTAAACTCACATATTTCTATTTCATAACCTTTTATGAAGTTCCTGTATTGAGAAAACTACCATGAAGAGAGTGCTATGCTTGGGAGCAAGGTGCTGAAAAGCACCGATACAGACAAGGATTCTTGCGGGACAGGCTGTCGGCCCGTGGGGTTCCCCGGTGAACCTGCCCATGGGCCCGGACACCCTCGGGTGCTGGGTCTGGGCGACTCCTGCACTCGCTGACCACGCCCAGGGGCCGGGAAGTCACCGGAGGAGAGGACAGGCACTTCCTGGGGCCCCAGAAACAGGGGCGCCTCTCGTTCCTCATCAGCATCCTGCTCCCCGGGTGTTTGAGGCCTCGGTTCCTTGACCCATAACCTGAAGGAGGCTACTCCGCACTTACCGTCTTCCCTGCCCCATTGGGTCCAACCAAAATTGTGAGGGGACTGAAGAAAGTGATAATTTGCTTATCTTTGTCCTCTATTCCAAAACTCCGCACGCCCATAATGCTCATCTTTTCGATCCGGGACATGTTTGTAAATGTTTCTTATTTCAACACCAGCAAGATTGAGCGGTGAGGCAGCGGCGCGGCGAACGCTGGCCGGCAGGCTCCCGCTGGGAGCGAAGGCTCCGGCTGGAACCCTTCCTCCCACGCCTGCCTTCTTCCCGGCTGGCGGGCCGGAGCGGGGCAGAGCTGCCCAGGGATGCCCGCGGGAGAC